CCCCCCCCCCCCCCCCCCCAGAAGTCACCCTCCTCTGCAGGGGTCCAAATAATCAATTATTGCTGAGGAAAGATGGCGTTGGGGGGCAGGGGGAACACAACATCCACACCCCCCATTAAGGCCCTTACTCCTTAATCTCGCTGGATAGAGTTACACATCTGGTAGAGGCTTGTTCGTTGTTGCTATTACTTTTATTGCGTCTTTAGCGGTGATGAAGTTCAGATGGCAGAGCCGGTGGGCCCCAATTTAATTTCGTCTGGCCTCCCGTAATGAGCACGCTGTGATCCCTGGGCAGGGCTGGCTCGGCCACAGCTCCAGCGGGCAGGGGCTTGTCTGCCATGGTGATGGGCAGAGGTGGTGTGGACAGACAGACGGACACGCAAAACCCCACTGTGAGAGCTGGGGTGTGGGGGAGCAGGGAGGAGAGATCTGGAACTAAGGATAACGGGTGGGTGGAGGTGTCTGTGCTGTGTGAGTGCTGAATACTGCAGTGACCTGGGTGGATGGACAGATGGACAGCCAGCTTTTCATGTCAAAACCCAGAAGCAAGATCACGAGGTGGATTTCCACCTTTTTTGGTGGCTGGGTTGTGGGTACTGTGACATTTTTCCGAGGTTGCTGTATCCCTGATGGCTCTTCCCTGGCAATTTCCGTGACTTTCCGGGTTTCCAGTGGCAATGTATAGAAGCTCCCACCTCTCCCCTGGTGTCTGCAAATGCATGTGTCTAAGGGCTATACAGGATTCATTTACGGGCCTCCCGTTGGTGGGATATGTGCATGCAAAATGAAGGTTGTATTTGGCTTCTAATATTCAGATCTATATTCCATATTGTGTTGACCAAGAAAAAGCAACTCAGCCCCCGTGCTGAAGAATGTGATGGACTGATGACTTTCAGAAACATACTGTAAATCAAGGAGGCTAATAAATACTTGCTATTAATAAAACAGGGCTACTGCCTTTCAAGTTATTTTCACATTTTACAGTTTAAAAATTAAATGGAATGAAAAAGGCAATATTTTTGGACTTTCCCTCTTCCCTCAGCACAGCTGTTGCTAAACTTAACCTCCTCAAATGCCTGGGCAAGATGAGCTTTTCATCAATGAGAAGGTCTAGATGGGGAGCAGTTGACCAACCCCATGGAGCTGATGCGGGTCTGACCCCAGCAACAGGGTTCCCTTGGCAAGTGGTGGCCTCTCACTCGGTTGTCCCTATGGGCTGACAGAAGATCCCCAGAGCTTGTCCAGGCCAATGCATCAAAGAGCCTGCAGCCAAAAGCTGTACCACCTGCACCAGCTCATGCTAAAGCTTTAATGCTTCCCAGTTGTGAGCAAAGCCGCTCCAAGTGGTAAGCGCGTGGGCAGAGCATCCACAGGCTGCTTAACCCTTTCTGTGGGGTTTCTCTGGGTCCGTACCCCATCCACTGCAAGAAGTTTGGTGAAGGTGTTGGTGGCCAAGGGCCTCCCATGAGACGCACCGGCAGGCAGCAGAACATGGGACTCAGTACTTGCTTCTTGAGTATCTGTAGCAGAGCTCATAGTGCCTATGGGGCTGCCAGAACAGGCTCTTAAAATAGCTGTGCCCTTGCAAGCCCATTTTTTTTCTTTATGTGAGTGTCTGTCCCGTCCCTGACCTCTCACAGCCCTCCATCAAGAAGCAGTGCCCAGTGGCTGTGACACTTCAGTCCCCCTTCCCAGTGGGTTGACCCCTGGCATCCCTAGTCCCATGGCTCATCTCCCAAACCATTGGTGGGTGGTGTGGGCTCTGCCTACCCTGCTTTTCCCAAACACCTCTGCACCCCTAATTCCAGCATGGATAAAACTTATTTTTCTTTAATATTCTCCCCCCCTCCTCTTTCCTGCCACCTCCCTGGCGTGCTTCCCTGGGGTTTGGCTTTTCCATTCGGAGGCATTGGGGAGCAACATCCTTCAGGACCTGCTTTGCACCTGGCTGCTCCTGTTGGCTTTTTGCTGCCTGAAAACCCCTTTTAACTTATCTTTTTTTTCTTCTTCCCCTTCCCTCTCTCCCCTGCTGAAGAGATAGCACTTTCTGCGGCTCAAGTGATTAAAGGGGAGGGGAAAAAAAGCTTATTTAAAGTAGAGCCTGGCAATATAAAATAAGGTGTGGAGGTGATGAATGATCCCAGGGTATATTAACGCAGGGGCTGGCATTTTCGACATCTCTCCTACCCGCAGCGTGTTTGAGCACCTCGCAGACTGGCTGTTTTGAAATGCTGAGCATCCGCCCCCGGGCCCTAATTCGGGCAAGTTTAAAAACGTCCTCTGGGATTAAGTAAAGTAGTTGCTGTTCTCCTCTCCCGGAGACCCCAGCGCTGCTGTATGGATGTGGGGCTGGAAGGGGACAGGAGGAGAAGCCCCACCTCAGCCCTGCTGTACCACCTGAGGGTGGGGGGATCAGAGGATGGACACCCCTGGAAAGGTCGGAGATGGGAAAAGCTTCCCTGGCTCTTAAATGCTTTTTGAAAGCTCTTGGAAGCATATTCCCAGCGTTGCTGTAGGAAGCAGTCAGGAGAAAGAGGGTGGAAAAGAAGAGCTCATTGCATGCAGCCAGCAGGGCAGGCATGGGGAAATTATGCATTTTTCCGGACTGCCTTATTCCCTTCTGTGTATTAAACATTATTTTAATATTCAAGTGACAATGTTTTATAATTAAGCTAAATGTAAGAGACGGAGTACGCTGGAGAGCTCAGCTTGGTGTGAGGAGGTGAGGAAGGCTTCCACCCATTGCCCAGGATTAACCCCAGGTTGCAGCATCCTCTGCGGCCATGCTGGCGAGTACGGTGCCTGGCTCTCGGACACCACCACACCCCGCACTTCGGCAAGTAAAACCTTTAACTCATAAAGGTTGTAATGTTAATACAGAAGAAAAGCCTTTTAAAAAATTACATTAGTTCACAGACATCTATTGAACTCATGAGGGGAAATCTAGCCCCTGAGAGATAGAAACTAAAGAGCTGAGCCATAAACCAGTACGATAACATCCTTATTATAAGATGCAAATTAAGGGGCCCAATTCACTTTAAAAAAGCATTATGAGTATTTAATTTTTCTAGTGGGAATATCTCTGAAGTTGGCCTGTGTGTGGTTTTTCATGCTGTGTACTTAAAAAAAAAAAAAAAGCAGAAAGTAAGTCAGGCCATGAAGAAGCTGCTGAAGGAAGGCAGAGCTGAGGATGCCGAGCGGGGATCTGGGTGTCAGAAGAAGTAGCTGGTGCTTATTGTGGGCAGGAGAGCATGTGGTGTTCACACTGGCTTTGGATGGGGAGATCGTGGCTGAAGCCAGCAGCATTGTAGTGGGTTTCTGAAGTTGTAAAACAGGGTCTGAACCTGCCCTGGGATTTGTTTTAAGTGTTTAATCTCCAGAGTGGCTGGCTGGCTCCCTGTGCAACTCTGGCCAGTGGCTCAGCGCTGACACTGATGCCCTACGGGTCAAGGGGATGCGCTTGGTTGAGATTCCATCTGAGTTTTTTGGGATTTTCTGGGCAACTTGCTCCTCACCCTCGCTATTGCATCTGTTTTTGGGAAGCAGTTGGGCTGCCATGATGCTGCTGACAGTGTTATTGGTTACAGGTTATAGAAAACATACAGTCTGGTGAAGGGACGACAGGGCTTTTGGATGTTTGATTGAGGCACTTATTCACACCGGGAGTGATTTGAGGCTGAGTTTTTTTGTGGCCATTCCTTGTTTCCTGGAGCCTTTTTGAATTATTTTATTTTATTTTTTCTCCTTGAAGTTGGAAGACAGTGTAATCGCTGCCCTTGCCTTTGCCGTTTGTTAGACATCAGAGGTTAAAGTCCCAAGCCAGAAGCACTTGGCACACAAGGTGGGGACAGCTGGGATAAAAGGGAGAGAGCCTCTGAGTGTTTGGTCTGCTCTCCATCCAGCTTTAGGGTTGAAAGGTCAAGACTTGTTGGAAAAAGCAAAGAAAATCCAGTACCCTTAATTCACATTCTTAAAGAGAAAAGGCCTGGTTCAGCTGCCTGTGGGCTGGAGCCTTCAGGAGGCTGGAATTACCTTTTCAAACATAGAAAATAAACCCCTACCCTGAAAGACTTCTTTTTAGGCAGGCATCATACAGCTCTCCTATATAATGCCTAGAGGTCAAAGGTTGAGTAAAATAGAGAGACCAGGTAAATGCGTTCATTTGAAACCCAAGGATTACATAATTTTATTTATTTTGCAGAGTTGGAGAGCATCTCTCCAATTACGGAGATAAAAACTGGGATGGAACAGGGGCTGGCAGCTCCAGACCCAGCCCTGCAGCTTGAGTCTGGGGTTGGGCTCTGCTTCTACGCCACAGCCCCTGCTTCAGATTTGGGGCACAGAATAATGGGGTTTTCCCAAGGGGGGGTTAATCAGCTGAGGAAAACCCTGGTCTCCAGCTGGACCCCAGTGACTGAGCCTGGACTGGGTCTGAGCTCTGCATTGAAACCTGTTTCTCATCCCAAGGCTGCCTCCCTATCCCCTTTCTGGCAATTGCCTACTTACTTGTTTCCAAGCCACTGTTTACAAGGAATATTGCGTCTTTTTAAGGCTGCACGGATACATGTGGCCAGCGAAGACCATAAAATAGTGGTAGGTAATGTTTGCTGTCAGGCACTGGGCTGGCCAAACCCTTAGAAATACAGACTCCTTGCTTTGACTATTTTTTTTTTTTAAAGAAAATAAATCCAATATATCCTTCTTTTATCT